TTGAGATATATCCTCGATTGTTAAACCTCCAGAAATAACTGGAGTGATCTCTGATACCATTTGTAATATCTTGAATGTTTCTATAGCCGGTTTACCGAGCAGATTATCACGATTTCTTATGACAAACATTTTTAATTTGTCAGTTTTGTTTCTGAATGTAACCGGCAATTTAACTTTTCCTATGACAGGGATCTCAAAACCACCTGGACCTTTCAACTTGGTTCGTGTCCGTTTCAATATTGGACTATTTCCTAGTTTTTCAAAATTTTGATGACTCAATATATTAACATCCGCTCCTGTGTCGATCTTGAAATCCATATTCTGCCCGCAAACATTCATTCGAATATTCCATTTCTGTGTATATAGCTGGTTCTCTTTAATTTCGCAAATTATTTGCCCAACTTCATCACTATCAGCATCCGAAGTACTTTCCGTTTCTGATGTGTCTTCAACTTCTTGTACAAATTTCTTATCTCTTCGTGCTCTGCACATCTAGTATTCAATGCAGGACAGTCTCTCAATTCGTGGCTGGGTTTTTGTCCACACCTACCACACTGTGGTTACTGTTTCACTTCACTTTTCTTTTCGTAGTATTTTTTTTTGACCTCTTTGGATTCTATTTACTGATGAAGAATCCATTTGGCGAAGACTTTTGTTCTCCATTTTCACTCGTTCACTCTGCAAAATTTTTAATTTTGCTTCTTGCAATGTCAATTTGCTATCCAATTGAAGTACCTCTGACAGTTTCGTGTCTCTCAAACCCACTACGAGACGATCGCGAATAAGTTCACCAGCAATATTCCCATAGTTGCAGGTTTTACTTAAATTTACGACTGTGGAGATGAAGTCTTGAGCGCTTTCTCCATCTTCCTGAATTCGTCTATTGAATTTAGCTCTCTCAAATATCACATTAGTTTTTCTCAAGAAATGATCATTAAAAAATGTAACCAGTTCACTGTAGTTCGAGAGCTTGTTACCTTCAGGATCAATATTGTCTAATAATTTATTCACATCCGATCCCATATGCAGTAACATACTGTCCACTTGTGTTTTCTGGCCTGCATTTATGAGGCCTGTTACATTTCTGTATCTTTCGTAATTCGTGAGCCATTGACTCCATTCGCAGGGTTCAAAGGAAAACCTTTCTGGTGGTGATACATAATTCGCTGCCGTTGCTGTCACTCCAACTGATTGTATATCATTCAGTCTGCTTTCTAAAGCAGTCATTTTGGCTTTCAGAGTTGCATTCTCTTCTTGTAGTCTATCCATATCCAAACTGTAGTATTTAGATACCTGACACCATGTACTGTGTTGGCTTCAAGAGCAATTCATTAATCAACGTGGATTCGTATAAATACTTTTATTGAACTTCTGACATACTCATCATTCATCCCTCATGTCACTTGACAACCTCCTATCACACAAGGTGATATATATCTCCATTACAGGTTAAATGGGGAAAAAGTTGCGCATTCGGAGGCTCATATCAAGAGCCTTCGAAAATTTTCAAAATCAGTTTTAGTTTTTGAGCTATATCGAAGAAAGTGAATTTTTGGAATATCTATTTTTTTTCTCCATCATCAACTTTTGTTTTTCAAATACGGTCCTGATATTTTTTTCAGATTCTGAAAGGTTTTTTATTCTGAATTCAACCATGTATTATACAAGGTGGTTTAAGTGTATTTCGACCTATTTTTAGTCATCATCAATGTTTTTTCGAAATTCAGAAGGAAACATGCCTTCAGTTCCACTCATTTCGAAGGAAAGTTAGTCAACACACTGATACCTCATCAACTGGTTTCAATCAACAACCAATTTCATTTTGCGAAAACAAAAATTCCATCCATACAAAAATATGTCAAGCGCTAAAACCAGGCGATGACGAAATGCGCAGGACATTCTGTGAGTGGTATACCAGGAAATGTCAAAATTTTGCAGATTTTCCTTGAACAATCAACTGGACTGATGAAAGCATGGTCACTGATTATGGTATCCTCGATAGAAGTAATACACATTATTGTTCACGAGAAAATGAACATTTATTAAAAATTATACATTACAGCGAGACACCAACACCGTTTCGGCTTCAATATGTGGGTTGCAATATTTGGTACACGAATTATTGGTCCTTTTATTTACCATAAAACACAAACTTCCGAACGTTATAAAAATTTGCTTGATGATTCACCGATTGCGGAAGTTCAGAACTGTTGGTTTCAACAAGATCCGGTACATAATTCCAGAGATGTCCGTGCGTTTTTATCCAGAAAAATGAATTGGTACTCAATCTACAGTCCCTTGGCCGGCGCGGTCGCCTGATTTGACACAGCTGGATTTTTTCTTAGGGGATATATCAAAAACTTTGTACACGCAAATAACTTTGATGATGATTTCTCAAAATGTGACGTTTCATTGTTTAAACCAACAGCAATAGAGATGGAATTGCATTGGCCTTGATGAAACCTCTTGCTGTGAACATTGAACTGTCAAAATTAATGAATTACCAGTGTCCGACATCTTGTTTCTTTCAACCTATATTATGTGTAAATAACAATAAAATCATAATTATCAATTATTCTCCGAGAAAACAAAACCTCACTTTTTCAATCAGCTTTCAAGTTAATGACAAAAATTTTGTTTCATTTCTTTCTAGTCTCGTTCTAGTCGCACCACAAAGGTATGCCACATACATCACCTTCAGAACCATTTGATCAATCATAATATAATGACGTAGTATTGATACGACTGGTGAAATTCACTAGTGCCCTCGCTAGTGCCTTTTCATCAAATTGGTGAAAAAAATCATTTCCCCAAATACAACTTGTCCCTCAAATTTTAATCGATAATTTCCTAATTTCATCACCAAAACGATTTCATTTGGGGCAACATCATTCACAAACCGGATTAGATATACGTTTATCAATCAGTTTTTTTTTTCATATTATTGCCAAATGAAAAGTTTTCGTGAGAAATTGAAAAATGTATCGATAAAATTTGAAAGAATTTGAAAAAAAGCTGTTGAATTTTTACTGTTGATAATATATTATTATCAGCAATAATAATATTAATATAAAAGCAACTATATAATGACAAAAATTATCATATATAATACCACAAGTGATAATATTTTGCCGGAAATATTCGGTGATTGTTACGATAGCTTGTTGCCTAGTAATTTCGTGAATGACATTGTTATCAAAACTACGAGCCGTAGGCGAGTAGTTTTGGATCAATGTCATGAGCGAAATTAGAGCAGAAAGCTGGAGTATGTCAATCGACGAATATTTCCAGGAAAATTTAGGTATATTCCAACTCAAAAACTGCGAAGAAGAACATAATGATAGTAATGAAATACAGAATTCAATTTTTTAGAAATTAACTACCTACTTTTAGTAATTCACAAAGTGGAATGTACAATATTGATGAACAGTATTTTGTTCATTATCTTGGAGATGGTTGCTCTCAAAAGAGTGTATACATTTGCTATCCAATTCGAACAAAATAAATTGAATTTATGTGACATGAAATAATTTAAAAAAAAAAATTATTATCGCCGACGGGCTTGAACCACCGACCTTCGTATCACCGCGCAACAACCCTATCAGTTGAGCCACATCACCTGGTTTTATTGGTCACAATAACTTGAGTGACTGAAGAAGATTACTTCAAATGGGAATTTGAATTCTAGTATTGTTGTCAGACCGTCAACAAATATGCAAACTTATTAAATTACACATGAAACGTCCAGCCAGAATGAAATTGTCTCGCCTTTCGTACAAAATGTCTCACTAACGCGAATTATAAGTAAATAAAATGAAGTAGGTACTTAGGTTATTGTCTTTTGTGTCAGATTTGAATACAAAGCAATCTTGACCAGACACGATGTCAAAATTTTATCGCTGATAAACGAGGTTTGTTGGTCACGTGTGGGTCATTTCGGCTTCTGTATTGGTAGAGCAAGTCCGATAAAATTTAATAAACAAAAAATATCGCTAGAATACAGAAGAAACCGTGAAAATGGTCGATTCTGATTGGTTCTCGAGATCAAGAGTGGAATAGTCATATGAAAATAACAATCGGCCGGCCGTTATACTCGGATTATTGCATTTTCTCAGGGCACATGGTTCTTGGTCCCAATTATCACTCACCCCACTATTATACAATATGATCCTTCAATGAGGTGATCTACATATAACATCACATAATTTCAAGTTATCATCGATAATTAAGCCAATGAGACATTTTTCATTATATAGCATATACGAATAGGTAAGATTTCGTTGTTCTAATATTGGAACAGTGTTTTTTGTCATTGATTCCAACTTCTTTATGTCTTCATATATATCAGAAAATCTTCAGTTCTGTTTATAACACATGAATGTACCTTCCAACCATTTAAAATCATTCCTGTAGGTTTACAAGAACTAAAACGAACTGATTTCATTGGAAATCAGCAATAATCTCGATAAAACATATCTAATGATTTCTGTAATGAGAGACTCTCATTACCAATTCCTTCGAAGTATAGAAAATGAATCTTCAAAGCTGCAACACGAATTCAAATTGATCTCATCAGCGACATGATTAATTGCCCAAGGAAGAATTACCTCTTTCAATTAAAGAGAACCGCGGTAATTCTTTATGTTGGGGTTTGTTAATGACTACTTTTTCCAGAATTTAATTCTAACCCCGACACAGTCATAAAAGAAGAGAAAAGGTCGTTGCCGCCTCTATTCGAACAGACGGCCGCTTACTTGGGCCGAAGCCTTGATTGAATTTGCTCTGACTGAAAACGCTGGTGGAATTATTCAACGGAAATTGTCAGCTAGATTGAAGGAGCACTAGCTAATGAAGCGTTCAACACTGCGCAACAGAAAAAAATAATGTTCTTTGGAGTCTGGCCTATTTCAAGTTTCTTTATGATGAAACCACCATTCATTAGAATTCCTTGATGGATGATTTGAGCATAATCTTAATCGAAGCAAAAAACTGTGATCAACGGAGTAAAATCAAATTCCATAATGAAACTATTTATTTCTTAACAAAAATGAGATAAAGGAAATTAAGACAAACAAAATATTCAATGGACCACTACTAAAAAAGATTCGAGAAAGAATTTAAATCCTTCGAAAAATAATATTCGTCATTTTTTTCTTTGTATTTTGGGTTACACAGAATCTTTTGAATATCTGTTTTATCTATGACAGAAATATCGTCCCGATCAGGAAATATGAAAGAATGGTTTCCAGTTTTTTTCATGAATTTCACAGTCATTTCACTAGATTCATCGATAGAAATAATGAGAGCCACATAGTGACGAATTATCTTTTTGCCTGCTAATTTCACCACTACGTACATATCTTCATGGAATTCTTGTGTGTATTTCTCTTTGTACTTGGATAGGGGTATATAATCGCTGGCGTTACTATCATCTGAAGAATAAACATCAGCATATCGCAAACGAGCAGTATTTGTCATTGTAGTATCTAGAGACAAAGAGGATAGATTAGAATTGGCAGATAGTTCGATTACTCATACTCACCATTTCCAATGTACTGAACATTTATATGACCCAAACCATAGTGATGACAGTCTTCATCCACATCACATTCCAAACAGGAAAGATGTCTTGCTTGTATAACAGTTTTGTCCTTTCTAGACCAGCACACCTCATGAATTTTCATCGTACCTTTGAATACCAAGAGATTGTCTGGGACGATTTCATCTACTTTCTCAAGTTCCTCAGAATCCAAGGCAATAATCTTCACTTTCTTGGAGTCCTTCAATGACTCGACTAATGATTGAAAATTAGGAATATCTTTACCCATGGCGACGCGCCTGTCAGCTTCTCGTTTAATGAATCCACCGATCCCGTCCGGTGCTCCTTTTCCATGACCACTCTCACTATAATGCCACCTCAGCTTATCCACCAGAAGGCAATCTGCTAGATAATTGACCATGAGAAAAAACATCTTTTTATTTTTATACTGGGTTGATGGGCCATCGGAGAGAAAATGAACCGTTTTTACAAACGGGACATATTTTTTAATTTCATTGATAGCTAGTTTCAAGTGAGCACAAATTGCGGAGGGATCATGTCTCAAGCTGTCAGATAATGTACAAATGGAAAGTGGAACCACACTGGCATTCTCAGCATTTTTATAATAGATGACTACTGTGTGTAGAGTGACTTGAGGCTTCGATGCACCAAAATGTGCTGATTGTACCTCCTCTTTATATTTGCATGAATAGTTTTCAGAAAAATCGCAATGTATTAAAATTTCATATGTCGATAATTTCTTTTTTACTTCATCTATAGCTCTATATTGATGTTTTATATTTCTGATATGTAGTAAAAATTTATCGAAAGTATTCTTGAGTAATAATACGAGTTCTTCTTTCTTACAAATAACTCTTTCCTTTACCGTTCTTTGGCACTGTTTTTCTTTCCCCTTGATCATAAATACTTCCTTTTTCGTCACCCATTTCTCATAATACGTGTCTTCGTTTGCATCATAATCTGATGTTCTTATTTCTTTATATTTGCAATCTGAGCATTTCCTTTCGAGACATCGTTCCATTGTATATTCTCCACTGCAGCAATAGGACTTGACAAGGATTTCCGGAGTTTTTTCATCGATGATTCTGAGATAGTTCAATTTTGAGATCAATAATGACATGTTCGTATGTTGTAAACACAAACATGTATCTCTTGCTTTGACTACTGGTTGAACGATCCAGAATGGTCTCATTTTACAAAAAGTTGAATATGACAGTTTCAAATTTGGATATTTAATTTTGAATTCAGCATAAATGTGGGACAAAGTATCATTCAAATATCTTTTCTGCATTTTATTTTTCTTATAGGTAATTGTATCCTTCTTACCAGGACAAAGGCGGCTGTTTTCGTCTTTCGACAAAAAAGAAATGACCTGTCGCTGGACGTTTACAAAATATCTTTGCTTGAGTCTCTCATTTTTACTCTTGCCAAAAATAATATTGCAAGAAGATAGTGATCCAACCGGATCCAACGTATTTCTTGAAGCCATATTTTCTGACTATTGGACCACTGATATGCTCTATGAATTTCCTCTTTTGTTTGGAACCGTGTAGTTTTCGAAAATTATCTCTCAGTTGGGTAGACATAACTTCGCCGAAGAGTAATTTTTTCTTCACATCATCCCCTACATTCGATCCACTGACCAGATTATCAATATTTGTCCTTGGACTATTTTTCTTTTTAGTTTTATTTTTCAAACGGTGTGCTTGTTTCTTGTATTTTCTAGCCCTTTTTTCTGTGTCATTCAATTTTTTTTCCAGTTCTCTGATTCTCAATTTCAACATTCTTCTATTTTTTCTTCGAATCTTCTCTCCGCTGGTGACCCGACTCCTGGAATTCCCAAAAGTAATTCTGGGAGTGTGAACAGCCTGAGAGTTATCAGGTTCTGCAGGAATCATGGGTACAGGACTCTGCCTAGGCGATGTTGGTGGGGTATATTCTGTCAAGAATAACTGCAAGTTTTTTTCCCGCTTCTTCGCTTCATATGACCTCTTACTCCTATCTTTCCATTTCTTCCGCGTTAATCGTTTTTCACGTTCACTCATATCAACAATGCATTTTATTTTTCCTGCTGCTTTCCTAGAATGGTAACGCTCTCTTTCCTTTTTCTTAGCTTCTTCATGCTTAACTGGGTCATTTTTTATATTCTCTCGCAATTTTCTCATGCACTCTCTCGATATTTTCCTTTTTTTATCTGGGTTTTGTTTTTTCTTATTTTTGTCTGGTCTTGTTTTCGCCATTTCCATCGACCGACCTGTTAATTGATATCACCATGGTGAATAAAGGGTGAATAAAGGACACTCCTTTATGGAATTCTCACCTCCGTTATACTATGCTCACCTCCGTGAGCACATGAAGTTAACGGAGGTGAGAATAACGGAGGTGAGAAATTTTCAAATATACCGCCCTACACAGAAAATTTGTGAGGTTATGAATTCCATAGGATTAGGGCAAAGTTTTAACGAAAAGTTTCAATATTTCAGAGGATAATTAGTCACATTGTACGAAAATGGTCAACAGTAATGAAGTTAACGGAGGTGAGAAATGATCATTAACAAACTATTTTTTCTTACCTTCTCATGAAATTTCACAAAAACACTTCACCACATAATCTCAACTTCAATATAAATGGCAGCTTCACATAATTTCGATACATTCCTCTCCACCTGAGTAGATGGCGCTGCATTTTTCGAATATAACTGGATTTTTATACTAATTATAACGGAGGTGAGAATTATTCGAGAGACAATCTTATAGCATAATTTGTTCTCCTTAACATTCATATGAAAATATTTATTCCTCTTGTTTTTCATTCTCTGATAGCATGTTTGTTCTATTGCTCAACCGTAATGATGAAAGAATTTTTCCTTTTGCTTATAAAAATATAAACAGTGTCGATAATAGGTCGAGAGACAACCAACGGAGGTGAGATCTCACGTCCTGTGAACAGATTTTAAAATCGAAAAAAAATTAAACGAAAATTGACATGTACGCTCTTGAAATTGTGACATTGAACACTATATTCAGGGTGACTTATAATACATTTGAATTGAATAGTGGGCATTCAATGTGTTGGAGACATGTATAGTGTGGTTTATGGGAGAATGACCCATTAAAAATGATTCACTCTGCCATTACTTTATGAAATTTATAGTTTTTGTAAGAAATTTACGAACGATAATATTTTTCACAAATTTGTTCACATGATATACTGTTTTGCTAACATATAGTAAGTAGCTTCTTACAGTGGAATATTCGTATAATAAACTAATTGAAAATTGATATACCAAACGAAATTTACCTACTTTAGACATCAGAATTTCCTATGAGTAAGCTAGAGATGCAGATAATCTGTGTGATGACCTTCGGTTTGATGAATTCACTCGAAATTGATAAGTAAAAAGTGAGAATTTAGAGAGTTATATTCCTTATAAAAAAATCGTTATTTTCATCGATTTTTCTTATCAAAAACTCATTTAAGATTTGTCAATGCAGTAGTTGAATGTTCTACCGGTCTGAGCTCAGGATCACAGTCCATTTGTTGAACTACCGTTTCTTTGAATTGAGAGTAGGATAATAACAATCAATATGTCGAGGAGTTCAATCAGAATGAATAATGACATCTGGAATGTGGATCTTAACCTAAGGTACATGTTATTCAGACAGTTAATTCCTCTCACCAAATATTCTGAGTATATTGTTGATTAATGTACGTAATACTCATCAAAACCACATGTTATAAAAATACAATTTGTATTCTTTTAACTGTGTCAAAACTAAGGATGAGCTAGCTTGCCACCAGTTAGGCCTGGATTTAGTCATTTTGTTTCTTCTTGTGATGTGCAGTTATCGTAGATTTATTTCGATTTAGTAGATGGAGTACCTGTATGGATGTTGATGGCCATCGATTCAAATAATTCTATGTAGTCGAATAGAGAATGAGATTTTATTCACAACATTTTCAGATCAATAAGTAAATATTCTTTACGGAAAAATAAGTGACCAATAAAAACTGAATGAAACTAATCGAATAGATAGCACTGAAAATAGAAATCATTAAATTATTTGAATCGATGACCATCAACATCCATCATATACTGAATCGAAAACGACCTACAGGGTGATTACCCTATGAATACAAAAAAATAAAAATACGAAATTCAGGACTAGAAATGGAAGAATATGTTGATTTCCATTGAGTTATAGCAATGAAAATATTTCGTGATTTGTAGGTATGTGTTGAGAAGTTATAATTCCCAAATGGATATTTTTTCGCCAAACTCCCGTTTTTTTTTTCTTCAGATTTTTCGTTATTTTCTCAAATTTAGTGTGAGGAAAACTTTTTATATTTAATTGCTGATGTTTCTTTATAACCTTTGATATTTCCTTGTCAGAGTGTACAGAATTAACTTTTTGATATAAACTAAAACTATCAAAATGTTCCAAGAACGGTCCTGGATTTTTTCGATTCTGAATAAATCAGTCTATGAGAGCAAAACAATTCATGCTTCGAAAAAGTTGTTGTAAAGTTATTATCAAAAGATATTTATGCCAAAATCTCAGATAATTAACCCTTTATATTATAGTGAAGAAGGGAAGGAGATCTGATGTTCATTAGGTATACCCCTGAGGGCCTCTATTCGTTGGTATGTATATATGTACGTACATACCAACTGGTCATCGACCTCACGAGAGGCCCTTCAGCCTATGTGTGTTCTGTGTAGGCTTTGTTACTGACTTCATACACCACCTTTGGAGAAGTACCATTGAGTGGAACGCAACAGCAACTCGTGCGGAATCATCTGCGGCTGATTCTACGAAAATTGAAATTCATTGCTATCGCATTTCAGGATTGGACAAGAATATATATTTTGTTTTTTCTAAAACAAATCGAGTTCAGTACGTTGAGAATTCATGTACAGAAAAAGGTTCAATTCTGATTGCAGAACTTGACAAAATAATGAAACATCGAAAACAGCAGTGGCACGCACTTGTTTCTCTGTAAATATGAACTAGAACCTCTCCTGTGACGCCACTGGAATGTATAATGCTGATTTAATCACATGCAGAGATGTGTTTCAGTAACACAAACACCTCTACCAAGTTTCAGAAAAACTCAGATTTGCATTTTCAGGATATTGATGATAAAAAATCAATAATATCGTTTGAAATTTCAACACCCTGAATTTCCGCTATTCAGGGTGGTGAAATTTGAAATCAATTGTTTCCAGACTTATAGTCATAAACATTTTCGTTTTCTTGATGAGTATAAGTACTATATTATGCTCTATTGAAGTTAGGAAGAAAGAAACTGAAACACGAGAGTCGTCATGCTATCTAAACGGTTTCGAAAAAATCCTCTGTCTATGCAAAAATAAAATCCATACTAGTTGTATTCAAAACCTAGATATCTCAAAATTTTCGGTTTGATAATGCCCGCAATGACTGAAGAATCGATTCCTATGAATGAATATTTTGATAACACCGTTGCCTATCTTGTCTGCTATAGTTCTCCTGCTTTTAGCTTATTCGTGAAAATTCGTTGATCAACAATATGATTTCTTTTACTTGAATGAAAATTGAAAGCGTTTTTTATGATGGCTATGCCAAATTTGTATCCATCATGATGTGATAGTTTTTCAATTTCAAGTCACGAAGAAAAAATGAATAAAAATAGATTCTAAAGGCCTGAATCGCAGTGAATAGAGAATGAATAGGTTTCTTTCTATAAACGAATATTATGGGTTTCTTCGATCCAATATATGAAGTACATTCTATTCTATCGAACCACGAGGTATTCTACCTATAAAGGTATTTCTAGAGATAATGAGGTGCTCAACAGATCTTTGTTTCTTGAAATAATGATCATTATCGACAGAGGTGGTCATGGATTTTAGAATAAAGAATGTCAGAGTGGTATAGTTATTTATACTTGTATGTTCATCGTAATTGTTCCAATAATTGTTTTCCATGAGCATATTGGATAAAAATAATCCATGCTAGGTCTGTAATATGAATTCAATTATTGCAATTTAAAATTAGAGGGAGTAACCCCAATGAAAATATATCTATCTCTATAGTGTATAATTTGGCTAACCATCGAACTTCCAAGCATCACCATTACATAGTAAATATTGAATAGGTATTTCATGCCTTCATATCATCATTATTATTATTATTGTCTGTATGCTG